CCCCAGCCCCAGCCCCAGCCCCAGCCCCAGCCCCAGCCCCAGCCCCAGCCCCAGCCCCGGAAAATCGATCCTGACCTGTCTTCTTCCCAGCAGAGGTCTGCTCTGAGTTCTCCAGGCCCTGGAATCCTTTGGGATCCCTAGTGCCACCCCTCAAACCCTGATCCTCTCTGCCATCAGGTCCAAAGTATTCCATCCCCTCTCCCTGCTCTGCCTTCCCTTCCTAAGACCTCGACATCCTATCCCCCCAGTTCCCAGTTTCTGAAGGGGACTGCTTCAGAAGGAAGAGCCCAGGGCTGAGGAAAAGGCTGAGTTGCCTGGGAGATGAGGGCGGATCTAAAGACGGGGAAGCCAGGTCACCCCAGGAGGTAGGAGGAGTGGGGGGATACTCCCCCATCCCTTTGTCCTCCTCCAGCTGCTCCCACAATGCTCTAGGGCAGGAATGTAAGAGGCAGCTGAGACCCCACAGCTCCAAAGCAGCAGCTGAGGGGGCTGACTGAGTTATGGGGGGACCCAGGTATCAAAGGAGAGCTGGAACCGGAAGCATCACGCCTGGTCCCTTGGGGGTCTGGGAGCTGGCACAGGGGAGCAAGCTGCCGGAGCCCCAGGCAGCCGGCCTGGAATTCCTGGGTGCTGCTCTCCACCCCCACCTCTCTCGGGAACAGCAGGGCCCTTGTTCCCCTGGGTAACCTTCATGCCTATCCCAGATGAGTCATCAGAGCCAGACGGAGCAAGCAAGAGGAGCCCGGGGCAGACATACAAAGACAGGCAGAAGATAGAAGGCAGGGGGAGACAGGGCGAGAAACACAAAGCAAGAGGTAAACAGAGCGGGCTTCGAAGCGCAGGGCACAGAGCCAAGCAGAGAAACAGAGAGAGACGTCTGGGGCAATCTGTTCGCTGACACCCTGTCACCCCATTTCTCTCCACTGGGTCACAAACACCAAGGACAGGCCCAGAAGACCTACCCCAACCCCACTACAATCCATCAGTCAATCAGGCCCCCCATGTGCCGCCCCAGGGTGCAGCAGGAGGCTGGAAGCCAGGGGCTGGAACACTCTGCCACAAGCCCTTCGCCCTCTTCTCCCAACCCCCAACCCTCACCCCAGACAACACTCACACAGCTCTGTACACATGCGCACGCACACACACACAACTGTCTTACAGACTTTCAGAGACAGACACATGTGACATCCTCATAAATCCATTACACACATAGACTCCCCAGCCAAGGCAAACACGGACGGACACTCAAGCACACATCACCTCCATCCACACCTCGGCATTCTTTCAAGTTCAATCCCATCACTTAGTTAATAGTCACCTTCAGACACCTGTGAACATGAAATGACAAACATGCTCCTACAGAGGACAGTGTGAGACACACACTCAGGTCCTCAGCCACAGGATCCCAAGAGAACTGGGGCCCACCCCTAATACTCAAGGTGACCAAGCCAGAGGGAAGTCAAGAGAGTGGGGAACAGAAGGAAACTTGGGTGGCTGGAGTGACCAAAAAAAAAGTCATTTCTCTATTTTCCCATATGCTCAGCTTTCATCTCCACTGTACCACTCAATTCTGGACACACTATGTGCCCTCAGCAACAGTGAGTCTGAGCACCAGACTCTGGCTGGGGGTAGAGGTGCTGGAAAGGAATGTCCAGCCAGCAGGGGACCTGTAGGGTGAAGGCTGGAGAGGAGGGAGTGGGGGAGGGTCACTGGGGATAGTGCTCCCTGGGCAATGACAGTAACTCCTGGCAGAACCAACTGACCATCCAACCGTGGATGAACGACTGTCACTGGCAGGTTATGATGTCAGGCCCTCTCTCTGCTGGGCTGAGGCCAGGCTGCCCAACTGGGAACTGGCTGGATGGAGGCTTAACAGTTCGTAGATGCCCGCAGAGACTGGCCAAGTAGGAGGACAGGCCCACTTCTCCAGGAGGCCGGGAGATGATTCAGTAGGACCACATATGAGCACCTGTCTTCCTGGGGTTCAGTTCCTCCATACTGGGTAAAGGGGGTCCTTCCTCAAGGCTGGAACACACTTTCTCGGAGCTCAGGGGGTTCCCACCCCCCCCCATTTTCAGACAGTAAACCAGAGCACTGTGGAGGCGGGCAGGGACAGACTTAGCGGCGCTGGACAACGAAGTCCAGTCCGGGAACATCTTGCCTCCCGGCCAGGCCCTCATCCTTCGGCCACCGCGCGTCAGCGGAGCCCCAGGCCGCCGCCCCCGACCCTCCGTCCCGCAGGGGTCCTCCCGCCGCTCTTCCTACCTCTCATCGCTCTTCACGGCAGACCCCGGCGTCCGACCCCGAAGCGGGGCCTCCTTGGTGGCGGCGGGGCGCGGGGAGGGGGAGGCGGAGGGAGCCAAGAGCCGGGAGCGGGAGGCGCCGGCGGGGCTCGGGTGTCGGGAGGCGGCTCCCGAGAGCAGCTGTCGGGGGCCTGTTCCGGGGAGAGGAGCCAGGGCTGGGGCGGCTCGGACCCAGGCGCCGCCTCCCCCTCCCTGCTCCCCCCTCCGCCCGCTCGCCGGGCGCTCGGGCCGCTGCCCTCCCTTCCCCCTCCCGGGCTGAACCGGCCCCGCCGCTCCCACGCCCGGCGCCGCTCTCCCGGCCCCGCGCTCCTCTCCGCCCCGCCACGCCCACCCCGCATTCCCCCGCGCGCCCCGGCCTCCCCCAGGTAACCGTGCCTCAGTCCCCGCCGGGGGCTCGGCGCTGCGTGCCCATCCCCCTCCACCCGCCCACGGCCCACCCCCCCCCCCAGGATCCCCACAAAGAAGAAGGGCCCAAGCAGGGGCCCAGCGGCTAACCGCTCAGGGCCTCCCCCACTCCCAGGCCCCACGAGGGGATGGCCCGCCTCCCTACTCCCCCTTTTCTGGGCTCAGTTCCTGGAGAGGGAGGTGAAGGGGAGCAGCCCCAGGGCACAGGGAAGGAGCACGTTCCCACAGGCCCGGCGCCCGGTCCGGCAGCAGGAGTTTGAATGGGGGAAGGGAGCAGGGCTCACCTGTCCAACCCGGCCTCCTAGACCTACTCTCTTCACACCGCCAACCTTGCTTCTCTCTGGCACCCTCTGAGCCTCTGGTCCTCTACACCCCAACCCAGCCGTAGGAACAGACCCCTCTCTCTACGTCCACCTCCAGTTCCTCCCCATAATTCCACAAGGCCCTCCCCAGTCCTCTCAAGGACCCTGGGGTCCAGACTCCGAGGTCCTGGTTCCCCTGGGCTCCCTGCTCAAAGCCCGGGAGTTCTCTTCAGGGCAGCCAGCTCTGCCCTGGTGGGGTCGGAGGTTCTGACCGCTGGCAAGGATAGGCCCGGACAAGGTGAGTGGTGGGGATGAGGAGGAGGATAGGGGGGCAAAGAAAAAATCACGCACAGACAAAAAATAACTACGCGAGATCCAGAGAAGTTGGGTGCAGAGAGACGAGGTACAAACCCAATGTGAGAGAAAGAGAGCGGGAGAGCTGCTGGGTGAGGTGGGCAGGACAGAAGGGCTGTGGTGGGAACTGTGCCACCCCGCTCAGCGCTACCTGGGGCCCCACCACCTCTCTCCACACCCCACACCTACCAATCACCTGCAGGGTAAGGTCTCACGCCACTGCAGATCTCTGCCCCATTGCACCTCACAGTAGATAGATATAAACTCACGCTACGTGCAGTCCCAGACAACAGTCCCAAGAAAGAAACACGAAGTCCCAGACAAGTACACAAAAGCACTGCCAGGAAGAGGCTGGCCCTTGGGAGAGGCCAAAGCACATATGGGCACGTACTCCAACTCACGGGTCAACACACAAACCCTAGGGCGCCCCAACTGCTAAGGGACTCACTAACAGACAGCCCCATGGCCACCCTGAGAATTGCCTCTTCCCACCGTCCCCTCCCACCAAATCCCCAGGGTTCCTCCGGTGCACCTACCCCTCCGGAGAGGGCAGCTGGGGAAGCTGGGCCCGGAGAGGCTGGGCCGGGGGTGGAGCCAGGCCGGGGGTGGGGCCAAGGTTTCCCAAGTAACCTCACCTGGGCGGACTCTCAGCCCTTCCTTCCAGGGGCTGTGCTCCCGGGAAGCCCCGGGCAGGCGGCCCGGCTGAGCTGCAGCCAGACCCCTCAGGGAAGGAGGAACAGCCCCTCACACCCCAGTGGGACATTCCACAGCCCAGGCCCACGCTGACCCCGGCCAGGTGGCATGGCGGTGCCAGACAGAGGGGTCGACTGCGGAGAGTATAAGAAACCATAGAATCCTGAAACCCTCGCTCCCTCTTCTCCCCCAGGAGAAATTCCTAGTCGGTGATGCCCACCTCAACCCAGCCCAGAGCTGGAGGAGTGGGAGGGATGCAGGGCTGGGGCCCTGTGGAGTCAAGTGACAGCGGAAAGGGGGCTGGAGCCGGCTGGAATGCCAGGCTCTGAGCCGAGACTCTCAGGGGCCAGAGAGGGAAATCCCAGCCATTCAGGGGCCCCCAGAGTAGTACCAAAGACCTAGTGTATCCAGCCACCCATCCGTGGTCCCCAGAGCGCATCCCACATCTCCTGAATCACTCACAGCTCCAGAGGCCCCCATGTCCTCCTGAGCCCCCAAAGGACCCTCTACCCCTCCCCCATCCGTGTCTTCCAATTCAGGGCTTCCCTCCCCTTCAAGCCAATGGCCTTCTGCTGCCCAGGAAAGAGGAGGAGGAACAGCTGAAAAAATGTGAGGAGAGGCATGTAGAAGAGAGCAGCTTCTAGCCTGCAGACTACTGGGCCACTACAGGGAAGCCCAGCAGGACCAGTGAGAGAGAGGATGGGCCAGATGGGCCCCCCACACAAGCTGCTGTCCCCTTCCTGGGAGATGCAGCTGCCTCTGGGTCAGCAGCTGGGGAGAGTGAGAATCCACTGGGGGGTGGGGGGCAGAGTGAGGGGGTGGACAAGGCCCCGAGTGTGAGTTGGGCCTTGATACCACCAAGTCCACATGGGAAACTGAGGCCCAGGAGCAGGAGGAGGAAGAGATGATACAGCACAGGGAGGAAGACGAGGCAGAGCTCAGCTGTGGGCAGCCTGGGGGATGGGAAGAGATGGGGCCATGGTGATGGAACTCAGAGAGGCAGGAGATAAACTGAGGCTGAGGCAGAGGGGTACTGGAGATCAGACAGAGGAAAGGGATGAGAGGGCACACGGCAAAAGGTGGGAAGAGTGGAGTTTGGGGAAAAGGGCTGGGTGAGCAAGTGAACTGGAGTGGAGACGATGGGGAAAGGGTGGGGGGACACTCAGAGAGGAGGGCAGGAAAGAGAAGGGCCTCAAGGGGACGCCAAACAAGGACAAAGGGGAGAAGAAGCGGTTGGAATGAAACCCAGAGATGGGAGAAGAGGAAGACGGAGGCACGGGGATTGAAACGAAGGGACTGGGGAGAAGAGAAGAGTTAGGGCTGAGAAGGGAAGGGACAACTGAGGGACAGACCAGGGGAGACAGAGGCCCCAACTCCAGAGATTGAAGCAAACCTGCTTCTGAAGGCAGGACACAGAGGCCCCAGACCTCTTGGTTGGTTACTTGGATACATCCTAGTCCTCGGCCCATCTGCCACACCACCGCCCCCAACTCTATTCCCCATCCTTTCCCTCCTCCCCACCCCTCTGGCTCAGGCACACTCCCCTCCTCCCACCACACCTCCAGCCTGGACCGCCTGGTCCCTCCCCAAGAGGGGAGGGCCCAACTCCACTCCCCACTCCTGCCCTCCCTGTTCCCGCTCTCGCTTTCTCCCTCTCACCTCCAGCTCAGGGTTATCCTGGGTCCCAGTCCCCCCAGTCTCAGGCCTTTAGGGTTCCGGCTCTGGGGCTGCCAAGGCCGCCTGGCTTTGTCTGCCCATCCGGAGCCCCGGGAGCAGCTGCCCTGGCCAGCTGCGGCGGGCTTCGACGTGACCATGGCAACCCAGCCCGCTCCCCTCGCCGAGCCTCCCGGCCCCCGCAGAGAGGGAGGGAGCAGCCAGGCCAGGGAGAAAGGGAGGGGAGGCGGAGAACTGTGAACCGCAGGGAGACCGCAGACAAAGACCCTAGACAAAGGGAGATGAAGGGAAGCAGCGCGGGAGAAAGCAGCAGCGGCTGACTGTGGCTGAGAGCTTAGGCAGCAGGCTTTAGGTCCTGCTGAGGGGGAGAATCCAGGCAAGAGGGACAAACAGACAGGAGGTGGGAGAAGAGATTAACAGTGGTCCTTAAGAGGTCTCCTTCTGCGTCCTTAACAATTCATTTCTTCTGTCAGGGTTTTGCACTCCGGGGAGAACCAGAATACCGGTTTCCTAGTTGGTGAGTGCCCCCCCCCCCGCAAGTTGTACCAAAGCATAGGAAGTACCCAAGGCCAAAAGGCACCCTCAGTTTTCCAGAACAATCCCAATTCAAACATATTCTGACCTGTTACCTCTGAAGTACAAATATCATTGTCAGACAATGTACTCCAATTCTTGATTTGGAAAATATGCTTCCCAAAGCCAAAGGGGACTGATTAGGCTTGGAGAAAGTAGGGCCAGGAGGGAGCAGTAACGAGGCCTCACATGAGAGGAAGCAAAGTACCAAAAGGTGGAGCTAATAGACCCCCGGGGGTCTGTTGGGATGATAATGTGAGATGGCATACAGGCCCCATTGATGGAAACAACCATCCAAACCCCACTAACATGATCTCCATCTGTGGCTTTCTCATGTGTCACTTGGGTCCCTGAGTTCCATGTCCCAATTCATTCCACAGTTATGAAGGGTTTGTGCAGGGCAGGGTTCTGACAGTATGAGCTATGAAGGATACATAGAGGAACACAACCCACTCTGGGCATTTACAGTCTGGAGGGGGAGCAAGGCATGTATATGTATATGTGTGTATAAATATGTATATATATGTATATGTATAAATACACATATGTGTATGTGTATGTGTGTTTGTATATGTATATAATCAGAGAAGACAGCCTTACCCATGCTATAGTCAGAGCTGGAAGAGGCTGTGGGAACCCAGAGGAGGGGCAGGCCAGGTCCTCCTGAGTGGGGGCGAGGCAAGATCAAGGACAGCATCATGGAAGAGTTGGAGCTGGAACTGGGTTTTAAGTCAGACAAAGATTTGCAGAAAGGAAGCAAGGCCATTCCTGGCTAATAGCAGGGAGCCGTAAACATGGTTATGTGAAAACGCAGCTGTGGCTGGAAAACAGAGCCTGTATGCGTTAACCCCAGAGAGGCAGAGTGAGGTGGGGTAATCTCATTAGTAGTTTCATTTATTCTGAAGGTGAGGAGGAAGGGCCTTGGGCCTTTGAGCTGGGAAACGCATGATTAGATGGGTGTTATTTTAAAAGTGGTTTCTGGCAGCAGCACGTTGGATACACAGTGCAGAGCAATGGCTGAGGAGGAGGGAGGAGTTCATTCCCCCTTTATCTCGTCCACATCCGCCCGGGGTTCCCCCCCCCCCCCGCCCCCGCCCTCCAACCAGCAAAGCCATGATGAAATGGTGAGATCCTACAGAAAAGCACATGCTCGGTTCTCTCCCGGTGTTTTCACCTATCATTTGGTTGTTTCCTTGGGGCCTCTGAGGTGGATGGGGGCAGGGCTCTTCTTAAAAAGGGAATCAGGGGCTTCCCTGGTGGCGCAGTGGTTGAGAGTCCGCCTGCCGATGCAGGGGACACGGGTTCATGCCCCGGTCCGGGAAGATCCCATATGCCGCGGAGCGGCTGGGCCCGTGAGCCATGGCCGCTGAGCTTGCGCGTCCGGAGCCTGTGCCCCGCAACGGGAGAGGCCACAACAGTGAAAGGCCCGGTAACCGAAAAAAAAAAAAAAAAAAACAAAAAAAAACAAAAGGGAATCAGGCCCGGAGAGGTTGTAACTTGCCTTAGATCTGTGGCAAGTTACTGCTTTCCACCCAGGACTTCTATCCGCCTCTCTCTTCCGAAAGGGGGCAGGGGCTAGGAGGGAGATCCAGAACGGCTTCCTGAGTGGCTGGGCTAGGCAAAGGCCTGAGCCTCTTGAGTCCTGCCCCCTTGGAAACCGCACCTTTCTTCAGTCTTTTGTAGGCCCCACGGTCCCTGTAATGAACAGAAAGACCACTGGGGGGCGCTCGCTGCACAGGTGACCAACACTACGATAATTACTGGAGAAAGTGAAAACCTGGAGGGAAGGAGCTTCAAGCCTGGACGTGGAACCGGGGCGCGCAGAGCTCTGGAGAGGCAGCCAGGGAGGGAGAAAAGAGAAAGGCTGAGCGGAAGCTTAGGGTAGCTGCGGGGCTCATTAGTGTGAAATACGCTGACAGTCACATAGCAGAAATACTGTTATTTATGGACAGAATCTTAGAATCTTCACTTTCTCTTTTCTTTAATTCTTTGCCAAAGCCTGTGGCATTCTCAGCAACCCTTGGCCTCTTCCTGATAAAAGCTGCTGATTACTGAGCCTTGCTAGGTGCCAGGCTCTGCCCTCAGCACTTGCCCAACTCATCGCATTTGGCCCTCACTGCAGCTCTGGCAGCAGTATTTTGAGATACTTCCACTTTTACAGGGGCAGAAACTGAGGGTCAGAGAAATCAAGTAACTTGCCCACAGACACATACACAGCAATTGGCAGATCTGGAGTTCAAACACAAGTCCTTCTGACTCCAAAGTCAAAGCTGGACTGGAGTGTCTGAGCTATCGTTATTTGTCCAACTCTAGGGATCTGTCATAAATCCTCACCCCTTCCTTTAAAGTCCTTGAAGATCTTGGGACATTGTCCTTAACTCCTCTAACTTCCTTCATCTCCCAAGAATACTAGTGGTCCAAATTATTCTTGTTTGTACACAATGTACAGAGACTGAACGATGGCTAACAGTTCGCCCAAGGTCACACCAGAAGTCAAGGTCAGTGCTAGGATAGTGTTTCTCAAACTGAGGTTCCATGAATGCTCTGTGAAAGTTATTAAATTCCATGTTTTTGTTTCATTGGTAATTTTTTGGAAAGTATTTTAAGCATATTCTGGATCCTGTGTAACTGATCTAGGGACCTGCATGTGAGTGCCTGCATTTGTGTTGTGTGTTTACCTACTTGTGGTCAAGTTAGCACTTCTTTAATTGTCTGGCTTGCGTTCGTACCAAGTGAAGTCCAGGGGACACGTACTGACAAAGATTTCTTCGTTATTTGAGCAGACACAAGTAGGGGGAGAACTGAATCATGCTGGGCACACAGTGGAATATTGTGTCAACTTCAAAAGAGCCAGTTAGGTATTATGTGTTCATATTGCCAGCACCAACTTCATTTCAGAAAAAACGACACTATTCATCACATCAAATTACTTTTAGTTTAAATTGTCTTTCCACTTTTGTTTGTACTTATTGCAACTTTGTTTTGGTTTATGACTGCTTAAGTACTGAAGCAGGAAGGGTTCATAGTTAGCTGTGTTTGCACACATTTGTTATAAAAATAATTTAAGTCAAGTCCATGAGAATTGTATGTCTTCCAAAAGACATACGTTACTCAAGTTCTAGCCCTCAGTGCAGGGCTAAACTCGACCCAGGGCCTTCAGGAGTCTCCAAAGGAAACCTGTAGTGTTGGAATCTCTGTTAAAGTCCAAATCCCCACCCTCCCCCAAAGATCCAGCGCAAGGAAGTTAGAGCTGGGGACCTCGGGGCTGCTGAGACTGAGGGAGGGAAGGAGGGGTCACAAAGTGAAGCGGTCATAGGGCAGCACCTGGGGAAAACTCCAAGAAGAATTTACATGACAGAACCAAAAATTGAGGTGAGAGTGTGTAGAATGTGAAGGTGTGAGAGAGACCACCGCAGGATTTAAGTAGAAGGAAAGGTGAATTATAAAAGATGATGTTGGGCAGGTTTATCAGTGAGAATGCTTGTGGCTGCAAGTACCAGAAAAGGCTTAAACAAACAAATGAAAAAAAAAAAAGAAGAAAAAAAAAAGTTCTGGGTGAAGAAGTTTCCTGGGAAAGAAAGGTTCTTGGTTAATTTGGTGGCTTTATGATGTCATCAAGGACCAGCTTCTTTCCAACTTTCTGCTCTCCCATCCTCAGTGTGTCAGGACTCAGTCTCATAGACTTTGGTTGGCCGCCTCAGCTGCAGACACCACATCCCACATCCTCCACAGCAATGTACAGAGGTAGAAAGCTTTTCCCAGAAGTACCCCCGCCGACTCCCCACTAACACCCCCCTATGTCTCACTGGGCCCAGAGCCCCACTCCTAAATCCATCATGGGAAAAGGAATGGAAATGGTGTGGCTGATTTAGAGCAATCATAGTAATATATCTCTTTTGGCCGTGAAGGGACCGTCTTCTCTGAATATATGGGAGGGCAGCACTGAAACAATAAATAAATAAAATTTGAAAAGCTTTGCCAGCAAGGAAGTAGGGATGGCCGTTTTGTGAATGCCAAAATATCCTCTACAAAATGCTTTCATGAGATTGGACAGGCTTTCTTGAAGGGACTTGCCTGCCATGCCGAGGGGTTTGGGTCTTATCCAGTAGGTTCTGGAAAGTGTTTTTAAAAACTGGGTCTGGGCATGATTAGATTTTCATAATGCTGTAAAGAATTATATGAAGGCAAAGTGGAATTAGAGGCAGAGGTCCCAGTAATAAGGCTATTTTTTATGTGCTTCTAATTCTAAATCATATACATACTAGGAAACCAGAACTGGCAGACGGTTGGATAACTTATCATGCCCGCTGAATCACAGGGGCAGCAAAGACCGCCCTTCTTGGAGATCTTCCACCGTGAACTTCACAGCTCTTCAGCCATGGGTGGAGCTAAGCTGAGTACAAACAGCAGACTCTTAATGCCTGCCTAGGACCCAGAACCACCCTGTGGGGGGTGGGGGTGGGGGGGCGATCAGAGCTCGGGGTGGGCGGGGGCTGATAATGTTTTAATCAAAGGAGGCTCACACAAGTGCTAAATTCTGCCACTGTGCTCCTGAAACAGACCACTGTGTCCCATTTAGGGTGCCAAAAGTGATATTTTTGATAATTTTAAGCATCATGCTGTAAACTATACTCCCATCTATGACACATCCATGGGTGTGGGACATCTCATGTGTCTCTCACCTAGACTCCAGGGAACCCACTGGCAAGGGCTTCATAATGACCTGCCCCCTGACCCGAGGGCAATAGTGATACAGACAACGTGGCCCATGTCATCCTCTGCACTGCCTGAGTCCTTCCATTCGTGAAATAAATAGTCTGCCACCACCACACAACCACGTGACGGTCAGCTGAGGCTTGAAGTTCACATCGTGTCTCTGGAAAATAGCCTTCAAACTTCGCCTGTCCACTTGCCACTGCCCACAACCAGGGGCCAAATGCAGTGTATTAGTCACCTTCTGGAGGCTTTCCTCCAGCCTCAGCAGGGCTCCCACCTGGAGTGAGGCTTGTGCTTCATGAAAACCCTGGTCTGAGGAGTAGGGGTTGGAGGTGGGAGGTGGAGGAAGAAACTTTTCTGCAGAGATCTATCCTCCCCATCATGGAATCAGCCATTTAATTTATTGAACTGACGTCATAACATGAGTTCCAAAACATTCTACATACAAACAGAGTGAAATTTTTCAAACTGTGAAAGAATCTCTCACTTGATAAAAGAATCACATGAGGGACTTCCCTGGTGGTACAGTGGTTAAGAACACGGGTTCGAGCCCTGGTCCAGGAAGATCCCACGTGCCACGGAGCAACTAAGCCCATGCGCCACAACTACTGAGCCTGGGCTCTAGAGCCCATGAGCCACAACTACTGAAGCCCATGTGCCTAGAGGCCATCCTCCGCAACAAAGAGAAGCCACCGCAATGAGAACCCCACGCATTGCAACGAAGAGTAGCCCCCACTCACCGCAACTAGAGAAAGCCCGTGCACAGCAACGAAGACCCAACACAGCCAAAGATAAATTAGTTAATTAATTTTAAAAAGAAAAGAGGGGGCTTCCCTGGTGGCACAGTGGTTAAGACTCCACACTCCCAATGCAGGGGGCCCAGGGTTCAGTCCCTGGTCCGGGAACTAGATTCCCACATGCATGTGGCAACTAAGAGTTCACATGCCACAACTAAGGAGCTGGCGAGCTGCAACTAAGGCGCCTGCCTACCGCAAGTGAGGAGCCAGTGAGACACAACTGAGGAGCCCACCTCCTGCAACTAAGACCCAGCATAACCAAATGGATAAATAAATATTTTTTAAAAAATAGAGACTTGGGACTTCCCTGGTGGCACAGTGGTTAAGAATCCGCCTGCCAATGCAGGGGACATGGGTTCGAGCCCTGCTCCGGGAAGATCCCACATGCTGCGAAGCAACTGAGCCTGTGCGCCGCAACTACTGAGCCTGAGCTCTAGAGCCTGCAAGCCACAACTACTGAGCCTGCGTGCCACAACTACTGAAGCCTGCACGCCTAGAGCCCATGCTCCGCAATAAGAGAAGCCACCGCAGTGAGAAGT